GCTGGTTCACAAATCGTAGACCAGATGATAATGTCAGCTCTCAATCTCCTTGCCATATTGTCTTAGGGTTGTGTAACCACTGATTGAAAAACAACTGAAATTAAGATGAAAGAAATAATAGCAACACTCTTCACTGACATTATCTTATTCTCAAGCATGAGAAAGTAATCAAGTTGGAACTGACTTTAACTTAAAATGTTAAAAAGGAAAAGATCAAATTATCAAGATTTAGTAGATTTTTTTTCTTTAGAAAAAAAAGGCTGAAAAAGCTAGTTGCTTACCTAATTAAAATATGCTGTAGAGGTTTTGCTGTAAGATACTGATAGTAAGGGTAAAGGGTTATATTAGCTGTTTCCTTATAAGGAAACATTTGACATTCATTGACTGAGTAACCTATCAGTTGAAATTTATAAAATAATTCTCCTGAAACAACTTTTCATGAAAATAGGTTTCTCAAATCCAGTAGCAGTTATAGCTTTTTCCAGTATTAATGGAGGTTTCCTTCCTAACCTTTTATTTGAAGTAGTGTGGAACATCACAATCTTGATTATGTCATTATTTTCTCTTTGAGTTACCCTGTGATATTGATTTTATCTGTTGCTGTCATTGGAAATCCTCAAGTGATGTGGTTTCTGTTATTTGGTACAGTTCTTTGTTTGTAATTCTGTAGTGCCCGTCCTCAAGGTTTGAAGAAGAATGATTTTTGCTAATATCCACTGGCTACACTCACTCACTCAAAACCACCATTGATCTTAGAAAGTGTTTATATAGCTGACAGTTTTGATGTTTCTGAATTGATTTGGTGCCATGCATGGCATCAAGGTCAGAGGTATCAGGAAAAAAGCAATCCCAAAATTATAGACACAGCCAAAAATGCAGCAAAATGTTTGTAGATAAAGAAGGGAAGTTCATCGACAGGAAAATAATATTCTTATATCACATTCATTTCATTGTTGTGGATCATTGCTGACAAGAACAATGGAAAAATAAGACAGATCCAACCAGATATACAAGAAATAGTTCAGTATGCTATTTTCCAGAACCTTCGTCATATCGTCCTTTGAAAAACAAAAACAAAATTCATAATTCTGCTTGTTCCTTCATTAGTTACTTAATATTTACATTATGCCCTGCTAATACATCATAGTCAAAAATTACATTTTGATCATAAGGAAAGACTGAAGACATATGTTGTCTGGTTTAAGTGAGAAAAGGGAAAAAAAAGAAAACGCAGACAATAATGCTCTCATGTGTTGAGAGAAATGGAAGGACTTCATTTGTACCCTCTTACTTCTTTAGATAATGACCTTCATCAATACTTACGATTCTTATGCAATATTTTTGTTAAAGTTTTAAGTTGAACCATCTACCAAGACAATAGGGAAATTTCCATAAGTATTTTATAGTCATAGAACTCACAAAGAGCTTGTTCAATCATTAACTTAAGAATTAGGATTCATTAGTTAATTCTTATAGCAAAATCATGAAATTTTCATGAGTACTAATAGTTATAATAATTTCTATTGTTGGATCATTCAGTTTGGGGAATCATTAAGATTTTGGCAAGTGGCATGGGCCAAGAAATTTTCAGTACCTCCTTATAGTTTAGATGAAGATTTGATTTATCACTCTCATAATTATTTTTGTATTTGCTGGTAGTGGAAATACTTTTCAGAATTCATTTTGTTTTTGGATATATGATATGATTGTTTTTCTACCTTTTCTGTCAAGCAATTTTCTGTATTTGGTGATATATAAATCTCCTTTTTTTTTTTTTTTTGCAAAGTTGAGGTATCTGGTAGGCTAATGTTTATTCATATACCATAGACTACCACTACTTGTGCATAATGTAACTATAATATAGAACTATAGTATAACTTTATCGCTATATATATATATATATATATATATATATATATATATATATATATATATATATACGTCAAAACTAAGGGACAAAATTTTAAAACCTAATATTTGGTAGAAATAACAACTGTGAAAAGCTGAAATTTTGACAACTGGTAGTCATTATCATCCATAATAACATACTAAAATTTGAATCATTTGCAAAGGATAGAAAAAGAATTATAACAATTATTTATTTATTTTCAAAATAGGATCATCCAAAAGTGAGGGACAAAATTGAGAAAAACAACGTAAACAGTATGCTATATTCAAATTTTTTGATTTCCTCTAAAGAATAAGTCTTACTTAGTCATTTGTAAACGTTGCATCAGCCGGCACCATGGCGAAATGCCAAAAACTTGATTACTCTGTGAGACAAGCTATTGTGAAGCTACACAAGGAAAAGCACACCATTAGAGAGATTTCAGAGAAAATGAAACGTTCCAAGAGTGTTGTAGGCAGGGTTGTTAAATCCTACAATGATACTGGCAAAATAGTTAGTGCTTTTAAACCAGCAGACCCATAAAACTTTGGCAAGAGAAGATCGAATAATGCAGCGTATGTCATTAAAGGACCGTTTTAAGTCTTGCACAGAAATTAAAAAGGGTTATGAATAATACCTCATGTGTTAATGTGTCAAGACAGACTGTTTGTAGACGACTGCAAGAAATAGGGCTGTTTAATCGAACCCCAGGGAAGAAACCACTTGTTAGTTCAAGAATAAGAAGAAGAGATTAGAGTTTGCAAACAGGTATGTAATTTGGACATACGAAAATTGGGCAAAAGTATTTTTCAGTGATGAAAGCAAGTTTAATTTATTTGGAAATGATGGAAAAAACAATGTAAAGAGACGTATTGGTGAAAGATTAAGTGCAAAGTGTACTAAGAAAACTGTCAAGTTTGGGGGCGGAAGCGTCATGGTATTTGGAATGTTTTCTAGTCAAGGTACAATGCCTCTTGTCCGGTTACAAACTCGTGTAAACGTGCAGATCTATAAAAACATTGTTCAAGATCATGTTGTGCCAATCATACAGAATCCAGGTTTCGATAGGGCTACCTTTATGCAAGATAATGCCCCATGTCACAAGGCAAAGGTGGTAATGAGTTACCTTAGCGAGCAAGATTTGAAAATTATGGATTGGCCACCGCAAAGTCCTGACTTAAATCCAATAGAAAATCTTTGGAAGACCTTAGGAGTGAAAGTTATGGAAAGAAATCCCACTAACATGGAGGATTTGTGGGTGAAGCTTCAAGAAGAATTGTCCAAAATTGGTATCGAGGATTGTCAAGAACTGATTCGTTCTTGTAGTCGAAGATGTGCAGCTGTCATTGAGAGCAAGGGCTCATTTACTAAATATTGATTGTACATGTATTTTTATTGTTTTTTTGGCCGTTTACATTGTTTTTCACAATTTTGTCCTTACTTTTTGACGTTCCAAATTTGAAAATAAATAAATAATTGTTATAATTCTTTTTCTATCCTTTGCAAATGATTCAAATTTTAGTATGTTATTATGGATGATAACGACTACCAGCTGTCAAAATTTCAGCTTTTCACAGTTGTTATTTCTAACAAATATTAGGTTTTAAAATTTTGTCCCTTAGTTTTGGACGCTACTGTATATATACATACATACATAGTGATGCACAAAAGTAAGTGAAATTCTTTTTCTATCCTTTGCAAATGATTCAAATTTTAGTATGTTATTATGGATGATAACGACTACCAGCTGTCAAAATTTCAGCTTTTCACAGTTGTTATTTCTAACAAATATTAGGTTTTAAAATTTTGTCCCTTAGTTTTGGACGCTACTGTATATATACATACATACATAGTGATGCACAAAAGTAAGTGAAATTTAAGTGAAATTATCTGGAAAAAAGATAATCAACAAATATTAATTAAACTATATATTCATTAAGAGAAACCTATATTAAAAGAATTACAATGACTTTCAAAAATTTTTATCAAGCTGGAATAAAAATATTAAAAATTAAGATGCGTAGAAGTAAGTGAAACATTACATTTACACACTGTATTTTTGTTTTACATGGTTGCCAGTGCAAATAATCTTTTGTGGATGTGTAAAATTCAGAATGACACAGGTTTATATTTTTGGTAAGCTGTGTACACTACAGTCAACACATATAACTTATTGTGTATACAAAAGGTTGTAGTTAGAGATTAAATTAAAAAAGAAATGTCAAGTTCAACAGAACTTACTAAACCTCGTAAATATTATCTTAGGGGTTCACTTACTTTTGCCCAGCAATGAATGTGTGTGTGCACACACACACACACACACACATATATATATATATATATATATATATATATATATATATATTTTTCCTCAATATCAGGAATAGAGTGTGTGTGTGTATATATATATATATATATATATATATATATATATAAACACACACACTCTGTCCCTGATATTGAGCACTTTTACCCATAAATGCAGCATCCCTTAAAACACTGCAATTTTCCAAAGAATTAATCAATTTTATTTTTTATATGATGTATTTTTAATACTAAAACATCATATCCTTTTACTAAAAATAATGTTTGGAGTAAAAAAAAATATGTTGGATTAAAAAATATAAACCATTAATTCTTTAAAAATTGCTGCTTTATGTTTCAAATACAAAACCAATGAGATATGTATTTTGAGTAAGGATCTGAACAAGTACATGTGCTTTAAAAGCAAAATAAAATCTTACTTTATTGGGACGCTCTTTGTAGCCGAGTGGTAAAAGCAGGCTGGATCAGACCATGGTTCCTCCTGCAAAGGAGGATGTATGTTTGTATCATGCCAGAGGGCACATTTTCCTTATTAAATTTTCTCAAGTACACAGACTAGTAGACAAAATAAATACTGTTTAAAATAAACAGTGTGTCTAATCAAATATGAATATCTACCAAAAATAACATTTGAAGTAAGAAATATATATATATATATATATATATATATATATATATATATATATAACTCTATCATACTGAAATATTAAATGTAAAATTTTATCTCATCAAATACAGTAAGTCAAATTTATTTATTGAAAAATAAATAATATGATTATTTTTTCAGATTTCAGAGCATGTACAGAGAAGAAGAAAATCCTCCCCTGGAGCAGTTTTATTTAAAAATCTGGGATCGGCAAAAATGAAATTGGCCCGGTTTGTACTCTTTTTTTTTTTTTTTTTTTTTTTTTTTTTTTTTAAATTATTTAAATAAAATTGAATTGATAGTGCTTCATCTGTACCTGAATAGACATGTAAATTCTCTCTTGTTGCCAACTATGTGATTCAAGAAGGAGGACTTAATAAACCTTTCCAAAATCAGACTGATAATCTGAAATTGGAATGAAAGCAGTAATGGCACATGCTCTGAGACCATTTAAAAATTCAAGATGTGGAATTAGTAAATACTAAGCACTTCAAATACATACGTGTATAAATCAATTACAATAACAATTATATGATATCAGTTATCATATATAAAATTTAGTATAGATGATAAGGAAACTGAACATCAAATAGGCTGCACTAGGGGTAGTTTCTCTCAACACTGACATCTCAGCTTCAGTCACTTTCCCACCACTGTAATATAGCTTTCCCTGTGCATTTTCTATAAATATTTTCATGGTAATTGGTTTGACTTTATGGTACCTTGAATCTATGAATTTAAGCACAGTACTAGATTAGCAGCTAGATTTCATTATTTTACAGTTGAACTAGCTAAATGTAATTGTAATTTCTATGCTAACAGTTTCTTCGCTCACACTTCTCACTTGGGAACTTTCTTCCAGCTTCTTGTTTTCCAATCAACTTTGATCTTCTATATATTGTAAAAAAGTTCATTGCCTGAGTTCCAGAAAATAAGTATAAACAAACATCAAAAAAAGTGCATATTTAAAACAAAAAATGTTTGCAGTAGGATCAATGTCTTCTATGTGCCAAATCCCTTTAGGATGTTGGTGATCATGACTCTCCTCAATTTCCTATCCTTTGTAGTTCTTAATAACTTTTGTCTTTTTGCCATCTCTCCCAAACCCTGCTCTGCTGTCCATTTGTTCAAGGGCAGAAGGTAGATCATATGTTGCTTTTCCCCTGACCCTCTTACATTCAATCTATCCTGTATCAAATTTTCCAAGCCCACTTTCTTCATTATGTACTCCAGAAATTTCAACCATCTCTTCCTGATGTTAAGTTAGGTACCTCCACGAAATCACTAAAAAAAGAGCATAGCTTCATGAAAAAGACGCCAACCTTGCCGAAAACAAAATTTTATTGTCTAAATGCTTATGTTATTATTAAGAGGAAAGACCAAAGTTTTTTTTTTTAATTATTTTAAAAAATTTCCTTCTTTTTAAACATTCTAAATTTTGATTAAAAAACCTTTTTTCTATTTGTATCAGCGGAACTAGTAAATAACATAGACAATTTTTAGCACGTTTTTTGGGTATGACATGCATTAATTTGAAAAATCGTGCAAAAATAGAAATAATTATCGGATGTTAATGAAACTTTCAGGAACTATTCACAGATGATCGAAATTATTATAAATATGTTTTTTTTATGAAAGTCATGGTAGAAATATTTTTTAAAATATTTATTACCCCCCATAACTAATTTTATGAAAACGCTAGAAATTCGATCGCATCGGTTTTAGTGATTACAATAATTAAAAAAGCACAGGGCTTTGAGGAATGCAAATCATGTTTTTTTTTTTTTTAATTGGATACGCAGTACCTGAAAATCAGCTCTGAATTGTAACATACAAAACTCAATAAAACAAGATATTATTTAATTTCAAATGCTTTTATTTGCTTTTAGTTGTTTTTATGAATATGGACAATATTTTCTGAAAGCAAAAAAAATTTTTCGATGAAAATGAATTTTTAATACAATTATTTGTTATTTCATTAATTATAATAGATTTTACATTTAAGTTGTTAAAATATTATAAAATTAGTTAAAAAGCACATCGGCTTTCATAAGTGTCCTTATGAGATAGATCTTTTTTTTAGCGCGTTGTAAATTGTATCATTTTGACTAATCAGAAGATCCCCAGTAATTAAGAAATGTAATTTTGTGCTTATAATCGAGCTGTAATTATAAAATACGGAAAGACCAACCAGAATATAATTAAGTTGCGTTATTTGAGTTAAGCATTGTTCTCCGCTGTTAAGGCCTTTACTTTTGCGAAACACGTGTGGAGAAGTTAATTTGATTTTCAATTTCAACTGAGAGGTACCTACAAGTATCAGTATCATCTTATGAAATTTATATGATCTTATTTTATATTAATCTCAGTTACGACATTTTTCCATAAATGAAATATCAAAATTAATAATAAAATGAATGCAAATACAAATAACAGTAGAATGTAATAAATGTACATAAAAATTATAGTATTTTATGTACAATTCTGATAAAATTTCATAGGAAAGGTACCTATAAATTAATTAGATACCTTTCTTAAGAAATATAAATTTAATGTCACTCTTAACAGTTTTATTTTAATTTCTTTAGAATATATTTCCCATAAAGCATTATAAACGTAAAAGGTGAAAGCTAAGTACAAAAAAAAAAAAATTAAAAAAAAATTAGACCGCTGAAAGTTTTCGTTAAAAATAACAGGGTAAATAATTTGTTCACGTAAATGTAAATTATTTCTTTTTTTAGCCTTCCGTAAAATATCATTCGCCCGGTCGGTGGGGGCATCAGAATACATACTGCCCCCCCTGCAGAGGGTAAAATCCTCAATGGGGCCACCTGTTTTGTTTAAGTGGCGAAAATGTAATGTTGGGGAAAAATCCTGGTGGTTGAGCAGGTTGTAACCCAGGTGTAAAGCGGTCACAATCTTGTAACACACCACTTTGGCCCTTTACCTTTAGGCTAGAAGTTTGGCGGTCGGAGGGGCCCGATCCGATCAATCGGCTGGTCATGTCAAGCCCCATCATATAAATCCAACCCAAACCTATAACTGACACCCCTCTTCCCAACCAAAAATTTTCTAACACTTAACCCTAAATATGTGATGGAAGGCAAAATGGCTGAGGGTCAATCAATTTGGGGGAAAAAAGTATCTGACACACTTGTTAAACCTTCACAGCCGTAATACTTGGAAAACGGAAACAAAGGAACATGCGTGCTCAAAGACTCCTCCCAAAAAGAGTATATCATTCACGTAGCCCCCGACATGGCAAGGCGAATGGGTTTCCCCTTGACCTGTCCCAATCTGACCTGTGGTGGTAGGGAGCAAGAATGATGAACAAAAATAAAAAAACAATCAATGGAAAAAAAGAAATCTTCCAAGAGACCACATGTAGATAACGACTCAGAAACAGAGAATGAAAGTGAGAACTTTCCACGGTTTATTGTACTCAAAGCAATAAGCCAAAAATCATTATCAGAAATTTCTCCGTTTAAAATACAAAAAGCAATAACAAATATCATAATACCAAAAAAGGTTAAAAATTACAAAATGGAACAATACTAATAGAAGTAGAAAAAAAAATATATGGACACATTGATCAGACAAAAAAAACTACAAGAGATAGAAATAAAAACCTACCCACACCAAACACTAAATTACTCAAAGGGGAGTAGTAAAAAGTAAGGAGCTCTCCTTGTGCACTCTAGAGGAAATAAAAATAGAACTCCAAACTCAAGGAGTTACAAATGTTAAAAGAATAACAATTAAAAAAAATGGAGCTGAGATACAAACTAATACCTACATTATAACGTTCAACTCCCCCAAATTCCAACTTCAATAAAATTGGATAAACTGAAAGTATAAAAGTAGAACAATATGTACCAAACCCTCTACAATGCTATAAATGCCACAAATTTGGGCATCACAGAGATTCCTGTAGAAATAAAAAATATGTGGGAAATGTGGAGAAGGAACCAGAACACAAAGAAGAGAAAAAAATGAGAGCCTATGCTCAAACTGTTTGGGAAACCACTCTGCCCTCTCAAAACAATGCAATATATATAAACAGGAGAAAGAAATAATTAGAATAAAATACAAAAAAAAATATATCTTACATAGAAGCACGAAAGGAAGTTATAAATAATATAAAAGAAAACACATATGCTTCCATGGCACAAAAAAAAGCAAATAAAATAAACAATGAAGATAAAATAAAAGGTTCAATTGAAATAAAATGGTAGCTATTTGTGAAATAATGTAAGGAATTAAAAGCTTTCCTTGAAGAATTAAAACCTTTTAACCGAACTTAAATCGGATCAAAATAAAACTCAACAACCCAGATCAAATGGAATAAACCCAAAATGAAGGAAAAAAAACTTTGGAAAGAAAACACAGAACAAAAACTCCAGCTTTTCCCTCTTCTTTCCAAAACCCAAACTAAGAAAATGAAAAATAAACAAAAAACCAAAAAAAAAAAAACAACAGAAAAAAAGTGAAGAAAAGCACTCGATCAAGATCTAACTCAAAATCGAGAATCAGTATATCAAATGAAAATAAATTTGAACCTATGGAATATATAGAAATAGAAGAGAAAGATAATAAACAAAATTCAAAACAAAAAAATCAAAAATCTGATCAAGGACACCACAAGCAGTTGAAGACAAAGCTTCTAAAAACTCAAGAGATGGAAAAAAAATTGGAGAGGACAAATGATACCAACCTAGTAGGTAACTTTACTCCCAAAAATGAAAATATAATCATGGCACATAAGATCCTGCAATGGAACTGTCGTGGAATAAAATCAAATTACAATGACCTACTCATACTTATGTCACTACTGTATCCAGCCGTCATCTGCTTACAGGAAACTTTTTTACAAGAAAATACCAACTTAAAAATTATAAACAATACCACTATAATCACAATACAGGACATAGAGCTAATGGAGGAGTGTCAATATTGATCAGAAATGACATACCGCAAAGTAAAGTACACATTAAAACTAAATTACAAGCAATAGCAACACAAGTGACACTAGATAAAACCATCACAATTCTTTCCATTTATATACCCCACAGGAACCAATAAACACAACAGAAATAAACAACTTGATGGAGCAACTTCCCAAACCCAGAATCTTACTAGGAGACTTTAACAGTCATAATCCTATATGGAATAGCAAAAAGCTAGATACTAAAGGTAAAATATTAGAAGAAATAATTAACACCCATAACTT